GTGAGGATATGTTTTTACTGATCTTAGAAAGAGGGAGAGAGAGCAAGAGAGGGAGAGAAGGTAACATCGATTGGTTGCCTCCTGTTCATGCCCCAGCAGGGGATTGAAACCACAACCTTTTGGTGCACGAGACAGCATTCTAACCAGTAGAGCGACCGGCCAGGACCATGTAAACCCATAATGGAGTTATGTTTGGTTTATGGTATCTTTTCTGATACCTAAGAATAGAAAACAAACAGACTAACCAACCCCAGAACGACGATTAAGTACTCGAAAGTATTTTAAATAAGCACCAATATACCTTAAAGAAAATGTGCATGTATCTTTTAATAGGCAAGGTACATTATAAGGTATGTATCAGAATGTGAGTCACAAAGTAATATGGAAGGCAAATATTTAAAAAAGATTTTTTTTATTTATTGTTTTAAAGAGAGGGGAAGGGAAGAAGAAAGACAAGGACAGAAAAATCAATGTGTGGTTGCCTTTGAGTGTCCCCTGCTGGGGACCTGACCTGCAACCCAGGCCTGTGCCCTGACTAGGAATCAAAGCAGCGACCCTTTGGTTTGCAGGCCAGCACTCAATCCACTGAGCCACACCAGCCAGGGCTGTAATGCAAATTTTAAAATATTCAGTGTATTACAAATCACCTTCAAAATCTAATATCTAACATTTCCCCCTAAGCCTTCAATGTGGATTGATAGATTAAAAATTGAAAAATATTTCTAAAATTTAAAAAAAGGTCAGGTTTAAAAGTCAGCAAGCATGACAAAACAAAATCGGGTAGATCACCCACAATTCCATGAGTGAACATTTTCTCAGATGATTTTTCAAAGTTAGAGTCTTGATAATATAATTTGCCTAGAAACATACGGCCTGTTAATTAGCTTCCTTTGACATTTCACTAGAGGGCTGACCACAGTGCCATTTTTGTAAACTGTAGTTATTTAAAACGAAACTGAACATTATTGGTTTCCTTTTGAGGGTACATACACATCATTTCCTATTTTTTGGATGCTAGATACTATTCATTGGAAAAATCCCCTAATACACATTAACATGAATATTATGCAATATGTAGTTTATAAACCTATTGTTATTAATAAACATTCATATTGAATTTTACATTTGTGAATACTTTTTTCCCTCATAACTGTGAAAGTGATGACTAGCTTCTTGACGGTGAAAAAGACTAAGAACATTGGCGCTTCCAATTTACTACATTAGATTGGTTTCTCAGAAGCATAGTATATATGAAAAGTCCAAATTTATGTACAAAACATCAATATTTATGTAGTCTGGTGCCTATAGCTACGTTGCAAAATGCTATGTTCTTGGAAAGAAGATGAAGGGTTTATGCAAAAAACATGTATAAGTAACACAGACCTAGGCATCAATGTGGTGACAGGCAGAGGGAAAGGGGGGTGGGGGCTGGGTGGAAGTGGGTAAAGGGGGTGAAAACGGGATGGACAGAGACTTTGCTTGGGGCAGTGGGTGCACGATGCACTGTGCAGATGGTGTTTTATTGACTTGTACACTTGAAACCTGTGTGGTTTTACTGCAGATAGAGAGTGGGTCCAGGCTTTTGGTGGCTGTGAACAAAGAATTGAACAGACCATGCAAAGGTAAGCAAAGCAAGCAAAAACTTCTGGCATCATAATTGACAAATCCTCTGAGAAACAGGATAAAGCCTAAAACTAGGAACATCCTCCAATACTGACTGTCAAAATATCCAGGGAAATAAGTAGAAAACCTGACAATCAGAATCTACTTAATTAAAGAGACCAAATCCTGAATTGGCCCCCGTATCTTCCTATAGCTGAAAGTGGTCAAAAAGGGAAAGCTCATCATTATACTATGTTAGGGATCACCTCAAAAGTTCTGAGTGAATTCTTTCTTTGCTCCTAGTAGCAAATCCCTTCCTTATTCCCAGACATTGGCCTAATCATGAGGAGATAAGAGAAAAAGAAAAAAAAGGGATAGGGACCCTAATCATATAAATTCCAAAGTCAAAATCATCCCAACTCACAAAATCCTCATTTCTTATAGGAACCAAAGGGATAGTAGCTTCAGCTTTGGTTCTCTCAGTTTCATTATCCCCAGATACAGGAGCGGGTGGCTCTCTTCTATTAAATGGTTACAAGCTTTATAGGGTTTTTACTTAAGGTTCTACACACGCAGTTTCCCACAATCCTCCTTGACTGCCCACTTCGGGAGGAAATCACTACACTAATTATTATCAGGTGTCAAAGGAGAGTCTCATAAATTAGGATGCTGACTGATGACAGCTACAGTGCTTTAGGATTTCCTATTCTATCTCCTGCCTCAGTTTTGCAAGCCAATGTCACCCCAATAAATTCAATTGAATTTCTAAATATATATTATGTTCTGTTTAGTAATAAAGAATTTTTCTGAGGTATAAAAACATCACAGTTATCTTATCTCTTCCCTAGATATTTGGTGATCAGTTTTTTAAATTGATTTTAGAAAGAGAGGAAGGGAGAAAGAGAAACATCGATTTGTTGTTCCACCTATTTATGCATTCACTGGTTGGTTCTTGCGTGTATCTTGATCCCAGATCATACCTGCAAATTTGGCATATGGAATCAATGTTCTAACCAACTGAGCTACCTGGCCAGGGCCAGTAGTCAATTTTCATATACAGTAAATATCATCAAAGGTAACCAAATCAATGATTAGTTCTAAAAAGAAGCCTTTCCATGTTCATCTGCTGTTGGTAATGGAGATAATTGTCAGTGTCAGGTTGACCTCTTTGTACTCAACATACCTCAGTTTGCTTTGCCTGCTTCCTAAAAGGACCACCCCTCTACTCTCCCCCCACCCCCATTAAAAATAAGATCAATTTATTCAATATGTTCATTTTACGCATCACAATGAAAGTAGGTTAAAGATATGTGCTATAGATTAGAGCTATTTATAATACACCTCTTTACTTCTTAGAGTTATAAGTTTTAACAGTAAGCTAGCTACACAGATCAAAATGCAAACCTTTAGATTTGTATACTTTTTATGGTAGAACTTAAAGAGCTACATAGGACTAAAAATAAAAGATCTCGTAAGACCAAAAATGAAAGATTTTTTATAGCAACTTAAAAGCAACTTATTATCACTTGTACTATTTTCAACTTTTTTTCCAGAAAAATATTTTGACTCACAATTTATAATCTTGTGACAAGTTCCTGTTACCATATCCTTTATGTGCCTGAAACATCTTCCTCACTAGACAATATCTCCCACCCCATTCCAAGTAATGCAAACTAGTTCAAATTTAGCCTGAACATAATATAATTTGGAATCTACCATTAAAATACATATTATGCATTTTGAAGAAAAACAAATTATTTATAAATATATGTTTTTGGGGATTATTGGTACAGATGTTTATTAGTGTATTTTAAAAGTTACCTTTTTTTCTCCTGCATAATCAAGTCTGTTCAATTCATTTTCTTTCAGTACCAGTCTTTTCTTTTTCCAAGAATCCAGAAATCTTTACAGATATCTTGTTTCCCTTTATATAAACATCAAGATTAGGAGAATGACAGTGAAGCTAAGTGACCCTAAATTCTATGCCCCCGACAGGCATTAAACATGCATAAACCTTTTAAGAGGTGCTAAAATTCACAAGAAAGGAAGGAAAATTTCAATGAAGGTTTTTGAGTCACTTTTTATTACTGTTTAAAAATAAGTAAATTTAACATTATTCACAACACAGTACGTAAGTTCTTTATTACTTCAGAAGTTACTAATACATTTACAATCTCTTATATGAAACTTTTTGGCCCGATATATTTCAGAATTCAGAACTTTTAATGCAAAGGAGTGTCTGTAAAATATTTTGCAACACCACCAGCGAGGGCTGGAACTGCACTGTAATCAAACATTATTATTTCTGTAGAAAATATATGAATATTCACACCAAGTGAATATTCAGTTTTACATAGCTTCAGTTCCATTCAGGTCAGATTTTACTAAGAGAGTTAGGAAAGATAGATAAAGAATTGGGACTTTTAAGGACATGTTAATTCAAAATCTAGTTCTTTACATCTCTGGTTAAAGCCACTGTAAACTGTTTTTTTCTTTCACAAAAAATAAAGCGTATTTAAAATGAAAGTGTTATTTCAGAAGATAAATGTAAAATAGATTAACCTGTGAAACAAAGTTAATTATATTATGATTTTCCCTTCTAGGACCTGCCTAGCTCCACTCTGGTTAAACACTCCATTTTTTGGCGCGATAGTAACGCATCAGATCAACAACCCCAAGCTTGCAGTGTGAGCGGCTCTGGGAGTTTAAACGACCTCAGGCATCACGAAGAGCCGTAGCGGAGGCCCGGGATGGCGCAGAATGCTGCTGCATGTCTACTCTGGGCAAACTTCAGCATCAGTTAGTGAATGGTAAGCGAGGTCCAGTACGTAGCAGTGTTGTTCCTTACCAGGACACAGGATGAACAATAAGATTCCTGTATAAGGCGTTGTTGTGACTTCTATCGGGTTTGCGTAAAGGTCGAACTAGGAAGGGGCTGGTAAACTAGAGCTGGGGCTGGAAGAGGAAGAGAATCTGGTCGCCGAATCTGGAACAAGTTGGGCGAAAAGGTCTGAGCCGTCGTTTCCCGTGTCGACCCCAAAGTGTTAGATATCTGTGTGGGCCAAGCGTGGCTGGCCCGAGACTCTGCCGCGCCCCCGGCCTGGGCGCTGGGCTCCGCCTGCAGCAAGTAGTTCACTGGACCCACAGGGCCTTGACCGATCACCCGGTAACCTCCGAGCCCAGTGCCCAGCACAGACCCGAGGACGTCCACGGGAGGTGGGGCCGTACCCCAACAGAGCGCAAGCCCGGCCCGCCCCTTGGCTTCAAGTATGGGGGTGGTACCTTCGTGGCTCCTACCCAATCCCCGCTCCCCGGTGACTGTGGGAGTGGGACCCTCGCGCTTTCCATCCAATACCCGCTCTCCGGTGGCTGCGGGGCCAGACCCTCGCGGTGTTTCGTCAGATTTCTCGCTTTTCCGAGGCCTTAAGTGAGAGGGCCGGTGCGGCTGCTGGCCGCGGCGGAGTGAGCGGAGAGCGCTGGGTGAGGACGAGCAGGCGCCCGGAGACAGCGCTCCCTGCCTCCTCTAACTCGTCGGGGGTAGGAGAAAGTTAAGCAGTATAGAACTGAGTTAAATAAGGCACGACGGCAGAGGTGCCAGGACTCGGCGAGGAAGCCAGGTCAGCAGGCATCTTGCCTGCCGGGGTCGGAGAGGTACCCCAGACGTCGGGACGCTGGGCTGGTCCGTTGTGATGCTTGGTTACATTTGTCGCGGCCGCCTCTGCTGTGTTCAGAGCTGACCTCGGGTTGGTGGGAGGAGTCTCCGAGCTCTCGCCCAGCCTGAATTGTGTCGCCATGAGACAGGGAGCTGGCACCAGAAAGCGCCCGCGAGGTTCATTGTATTCCGTGGACTTGCCTAATGGAAGGGAGTGCTTGAAACCTAATGTAATTTTTATCCAGCTTTCTAGCAGATGGGCTTTATGCCTGTGTTTGCTGGGCTTTCCCAAAAGTTTGTCTTGGGGCCTCCCAACCTCTAGATTGTCTGTCTTCCACGTTCTTGCAGCAGTTTTTGTTAATATCCTCCCTCCCCCCCCCCGCCCCGCCCCGCTTGTTTCTTCCTTCCCGCAGACGCCAATCTAGTTCAGATCCCTGTGATTTCAAAACAGAATTGTTGCAGCAGGCTCCTGGCAGTCCTAAACAATTCATCTTGGTGTACTGGTATGTTTTGCAATCCGTGTTATTTTGTTTTTTTAAATTGTTGTTCCTGAGTCTCTGCCACCTTGAGTTTACTTTAAGTTTATTGCTGCCAGGAAGCCCATTATAATTAAATCGACTGTCATCATTTTCTTAATGTGTATATAGGGGTCTTTTTGGAATTATTTAATTTAATCTTTACGGTTGAGAATTCAAAACAACCCTTTGTGAAAGAATCTGATAGCTCATTTTTTTAATGTGTACCTCCCGGTTACTTAAGACTGCAGTGTGTATGGAACTTGAGTCTGTTAAATGGCCGGGAGGTGTACAGAGAAAAGCTTATTTTTTCTATAATGTGTGTTAGTTGCCTATTCCTGCCATAACAATTTATTACAAACTTAATTTTAAAAACCACAAATTTATTATCTCACAGCTTCTGTAGATCAGAAATCCAGGTAGGATGAGCTGGGATCTCTGTTTAGCGTCTCACAAAGCTGAAATAAAGGTTTCAGTAGGTCTGGGCTCTTCCGGAGGCTCTGAGAGAATCCAACTCCAGGAGGTTCATTGAGGTTGTTAGCAGAATCCGTTTCTGTGCAGCTGTAGAACGCAGGTCCCCATTTCCTTATTGGCTGTCGGCTGGGCCTGTCTTAGTTCCATAAGAACCTGTGTCTTCAAAGCCAGACAGTACCTCTCCTGGTTTTAATCTCTCTGGCTGTTCTGTCACCAGAAGGAGAAAGCTGTCTGTTCCTCGGGGCTCAAGTGATTGTATTAGACTCACTTGACCCTATTTTGAGGTCAATTGTGCTGTGTAAAATAACATGATCACAAGTATGGAAGTGAACAATCTCATATTCACAGGTTCTGGGAATTAGGGAGGAGGTGGGGAATCATGGGGACCAATCATAAAAATTCTGCTGAGGTAGCATAATCTGGTTGTTTTAACTAGATTTGTTTTTATAATCTGCTTGGGCAGGCATTTTTTTAAAAGCTCTTAACAATAACTCCATCTGATCATATGATTATGCTCTCTGCAGTTAAGGAAATTTAGTTAAAGTTAGTTGCCCAGTTGCTCAGGGGCACACATGTCCATAAAGTGGGAAAGTTGGTATTTGAACTCAGACCCATTAGGTCTAAAGCCATGTTTATAGTGAAGTGCAGCCAAAACCATTAAACAGGAAGAGGCTGAGGAAGTATGAGATCTTTGTTGTAGCTCAGTTTTGGATTGCCTCTTTATATTAGTGGTATAGGCTAAGCTCTTCTACCCTAACAAAGGAATCCCAAAATACAATGGTGTGAATAAGATAAAAGTTTCTTTTTTTCGTATATCTAGAGGGAGGAGTCCAGGGCTATTAGAAGATTCTGACAACCTCCGTACAGGCATCCCTCATTTATTGAGCTTTACAGATTTGGTTTTTACAAATTGAAGGCAAGACCCTCCACCAGCAAAACAATTACAACTCACTTTATTGCAGTGGTCAGGAACTGAACTCAAAATATCTCAGAGTCATGCTTGTACATGGCTTCCATGAATGGATCCAAGGTGCTGTACCAGTTGGGACTACCTGCTAGGCAGTGAGAAGGACAAAAAGCACAGGGAGAACACACGTCACCCTTTATAGGGGTATGACCTGGAGGTGATGCAGGGATCACAAAGCCATTCTGAACTCCAAGGGAGGGGCAGAGAGATACGGCTCTGTAGCTGTATGCCCAGCTAAAATTTGGGATTCTGTTAAGAAAGAAAGGGAAATTATATTGCCTGAAAAGAGTCTCTGCCACACCCTTGTTTTTGATAATGTTTTATTTTGTAATCTGTGATTGGAATATTTTGTGTGTCTTTGCTATTGATTTTAAAAGGTAGTATTTAAAATGATAGGAAATTCTTATTCAATCATAATGTTCTTCGATTTCTCAATTGCTATTTCAATATGTATTTTATAAAGGCTTTTTTGGAGAAATCTCAGTTTTCATTTAGCACTTGTATACTTCATTCACATTTTGGGTTAATTTTTTTTTATGAAAATTAATACATTTTGTGGAAAATGTTCAAGATTGCTTTGGGAAACTGGAAACCACTTCGTATTGGCCTCACAGCATCTGCACAATTAGATAACAGCAGCCGGTCCTGTGATTTTATGTGCTCTGTAACCCCAGAACATTTGCCCTCGCACGCTTGCTCTGTCAGCCCACTGTCCTTTTCTAGGCGTCTGAATTCTGCCTGCCCATTTAGATCTCCTGCCGGTCCCCTCCCCCACTATTATGCACTCTTTGTATAAGGGCAAGAGTGTAGTCAAACAGATCTGGGTTTTGAGTTTTTGGTTTGATCTTAGGCAAGTTACTAAATCTGAGTTTTGGTTTCTTCATTTGTAAGATGGCAGTGAATGCCACCTCTCAGAGATAATATGAAAATTAGGGAGATAAGACATTTGCTGTAACATGTACTGCAGAATTTGGCAAATAGTAGGTGCTCAATAACTGATAATTACTCTGATCCCACTGATCACTTCCTGACTTCTAGCACTTTGAGTTGTAGGGAGGAAAAATAGTTTTCTTTCTACCTTTCTAAATTCTTCTGGTTGGTCTAATAATCAAATTGACACGGGACAGCGAAACGGGAGAAGATAACCAAATTTATTACGTATGCACATACAGAGGTTCTATAAGAATATGGGCCCCAGAGGACAGATCTGGCAGTCTAAGGCTTAAATGCCGTTTTGAGCTAAGAAAAACTGGGAGGTTGTTGTTTGGGACTTCAAAGGGCAAGGGAGCAGTTCACATGGTGATGGCAAAGCCCGTGCTTGGTAAGTAAATGATTGCTTGACCAAGCAAGTTAAATACCCTGAGAGGTCTATCTAGGTTCCTCCCTATGTATCACAGTTCACATTTAACTGTAAGTTGGCCTTTGCTCCCTTCCTGGAGCAGGTTTTGTATCTAAATTCAGGCTGTTTGAAGGAAAGTCTAAGTTTTTCGAAACTAAGTCTTGTTTCTTAAAAATAGCAAGCTTAAAATAACCAATATCCCCAGAAAGTCATACTTTGGGGTGGCCAACTCTGCTTCCCATCAGTCTACACTTTTTAGTTGGTTCTTTCTCTGATAAGTTTATGAATTAATTTATTAAGGACTAGGACCAAGTTCTGGATATACTGTGGTCCCTAAATATTGATTTAGTGAATTGGGCCTACCATATATAAGAATACTTATGAGGTTGAAGTTCTGAGGGTGGTTTTTTTCTTTAGTTTTCCTATTGTGATTGCATCATGGAAAATCAATTGGCTAAGTTGACCGAAGAACGAACATTTCAGTACCAGGATTCTCTTCCATCACTTCCTGTTCCTCCACTGGAAGAATCATTAAAAAAATACCTTGAATCAGGTATGTTTGTAATCTTTTCGAATAGCTATTTTAGCAACTTAGAAAACGATGAAATTGTTAGAGGTTGATGAGGGTCTAATTGCTTTTTCCTTTAGGCTCATGATAATTAAATATCCTGAAATGTCCAAAATTTTCTCTTCAGTTAATTTTTCCATAGTTTAAAAAGCCAGATAGTACTATTAGGCTTACAATAAAAAGTAGTAGTTCTCTGCTTTGCCCCCCACCGCCTGCAAATCCCACTGTCTCAAGCAAGTACTTTCAAATAATTTATCTGTTTCTTATGTTATCTCCAGGCTTAAACTATTTAAACTAATTATGCTATTATTTCTTGGATTTTTTCCATTGTTGATATTATGAATTGGTTCCTAAAAATATGTGGATTTAGCTCTCTTACAATCCCTAACCTCCCCCTGCCAACATATATGCAATCCAACATATTCACATTTTTCCTCTCATTCTCTCAGGAGAGTTGTACAAATCTCATTTGGGAATTAATTAGTATTCACCTGATTTAACTTAGGGTTTTGCCTGATATAAATCAGTATTTACCTGACTTAATTTACCCGATCATTTAGGGTTTATGGTTTTCTGGTTATTCACAAAAGAATCATTTGCTGCGCTTTGATTACCGTTCTGCTGCATTTCCCCCCCCACATTTTTCATTTGCTTAGTTTGCTTTGTATTCACAACTAATTGATTCTCAAACACTTGAATACACTGAGGATCCCTGATATATTCAAATACATAAGACATCCTCTCTGTTTCCTCTCTCCTGGGAGGCGTCCCTCCTGGCAGCCTCTGCCCTCCAGATCCAGTTGGAGTGCCTTGAGCTGGCAGAACAGCTATGTCCTGGGGCTTTGCTTTGGGGCTCCTCATCCTGGCAGTTCCCCTCACCTTTCCTACGCTGGGTTCCATGGTTCCTGGATTCTGTCTTCTTTTTTCTCTTTTTCTTCCCATATTTTAGTGCAGTACATCTTCTGTAGCTACTTGAGAAAGGGTATCTGAGAGGAAGGTAATAAAGGACCTAAAAAACATTTATTCTACCTTTACATTTGTTTGTTTGGCTGACTATAGAATTCTGGGTTGGAAATTATATTTTTAAAGAGTTTCAAAGGCACTGTTTATTTCTCTTAAGTCTGATGCTGTTCTGATGTTCAGTCCTTTATATGTGACCTGTTGTTTTTTACTCCCTGGATGTGTTTGGCACCCTCATTTTTGATTCCTACCATCTTAATTTCTCAGTGATGTCTCATAGTTTTATTCATTTATTTCTCTGACCACCCAGTGGGTTCTTTTAGTGTAAAAAGTTATGCTCTTTAGTTCTAGGAAATTTTTGAAATATTGTTTCTTTGATAGCTTTCCCCTCACTTCTTCGCTTCCTCTTTTTGGAACTCCTGTTACTTGGATCTGGGTCCTTCTGGGCTAAGCTTGTCATTTAAAATGTTTTCTGTAAGTTATTGTGTGTTAATTGCTGCTGAATGGCTTCTGCTCCTGGTGACTATATAAGTGAGTGATATCCCCGCTGTCCTGTCCTCAGGAGCCCTGCTCAGGTTCTCTAGGTTCATACCTGTGGCTTCTTCTATGCAGTCCATCCACCTGGTCTTCCTCTTTTTCTGTTGTCTTCTATTTTACCCAGTTTGATGGTCTTTTCCAAAGAACCCTGCCTTTTCATAATGTGCCCAAAGTAGGGCAGCTTCAGTTTTGTCTTTTTGCCTCCAGTCATATTTTGGGCAAACTCTAGGATCCAGTTGTTCATCTTACTGGCGGTCCAGGGTATCCATAGAACTCCTCTCCAACAACATTTTTCAGATGAATCAATTTTTTTTCCTGTCAGCCTTCTTCTCTGTCCAACTTAGGCATCTGTATATAGTTATTGAAAATACATAGGTGTGGATGATCTAAGCTTTGGTCTCTAATGATACATCTTTGCCTTCTGTTTTCGGTCTCACTTTGCACCCTGCCTCTTTGGAAGTCCATGTGTCTTGAATTCTTGAACCTTTCTGGAATTATACTGCAGGAATTCACTTGCTTTTTGGTTTGCCCCTTCCACTCTGCAGGCTTTTGATACTTTCTCCATTCTACAAAATCAGTTACCATTTTTCCATGTGTTTTATAATTTGTAAAATGTTAGCTTAACTTGTCTGATGTTCTTTCTTTTTTCATTTTGTTGTCCTTATGAATTTATTCCTTTTTAATTACTTTACTGTCATTTTAGCAAGTTTCTAGAAGTAGTGGAGGTAAATCTGTGCACAGTCAAACCTTGGTTCTTGAACATCTCCCTTCTCCAACAATTAGTTTCTTGACCAAGTTGTCCATGGGAAAATTGTCTTAGATGTCAAACAAAACCCTATCATGCTGGTACCTGTATGATCAGTCATGTGTCTCTCAGGCGACAGAGGGGAGAATGTGTGAGTGTGAGTGTAATTCTGTTTTCTAACAAATTGCTTCGCCAGTAGCCTTATGGAACAAATTAAGGTCAAAAACCGAGGTTCCGCTGTATTTAGTTTTCTTAGTTTAAGTGGAAGCCGTCTGTTTTTTAATTTTTAGTAATTCTTTATCTCTTCTTTTTTCTCTTCTACTTTCATCTTGGAAGTGTAGTATTTTTTTTAATTCACTGATTAATCACGGTTTTTGATCATTCACTTGTATACTTTATGAGTACAGATATTTAAATTGATTTAAGGTAAGATTTTTAAAGAGGCAAATTATAACAAAAGGAAGATATTAATGTCCAAAGATTTCTAAAATTTATTTTATACCTTAATTTTCAGAGCACTTGGTTTCTTGGTTTTGACGGACTAAAAACCTCTGTATCCTTTCCTTTCCTTTGTTTTCCTTTCCTTTCCTTTTTCTTTTCTTGTTTTTTTTAATTTTTTTTTTTTTAAGGAAAGCAAAACTAAACTGCCTTGGGCAGGTTTTGCACTTACCTATTGCATTTACACACAGAATGTTCAAGGCACTGCTTGAACATTTATGGAAAGTCACTTACTTGTTGCTAAACGGGATTTACTTTCCTATTGAACTAATAGCTACACAATAGTCCTGTCTTTGGCATTTTCACTGTCATCATCAGAGTGATTTTAAAATAATTTCTCAGAAAATGGTTATTAGATTACATAATTTCCAGTTTAATTTTTTTACATTATTTTGTGTTGTTACTTTTGAGTTATTTTCATTTGTAAATTCTAATTTATTGGATTTCAGTGATAATATATTCATAATGATTTTACATAACTGAGTTTCAAGATCTGTGTAAATAATAATCATTGAGGTAACTTTGTGATACTTGATGTCCAAGTACTTTAATGCAGATATGCATATTTTTTCTTTATAGTAAAGCCATTTGCAACTAAAGAAGAATATAAGAAGACTGAAGAAATTGTCCAAAAATTTCAAAATGGCATTGGAAAAAAATTGCACCAGAAATTACTTGAAAGGGCAAAAGGAAAAAGAAATTGGGTATTTATGTTATTGTATTTAAGATCAGAAAATTGATGATGCTTAAAAAATAAAAATGTAAATAGCTTTCATTTTTAAATTATTACTGTAAAAATTCTTGCAGTCAATATTGTCATTCAAAAGAATTAATGAATCACTAAACTCTGTAGAGTTTTGAGTGTTGTGGGTTGGAAAACTTGTTAAAATGCAGATTTCCAGGGACAAAAAATTCTGATTCAGTATCTCTGGAAAGAGGCCCAGAAATCCTTATTTTAATAACTAATCCATGTAGTTCTGATGCAGGCAATTTGTAGATCAAGCTTGAGAAAACCATTTTGTCCAGGCGACCGTTGCCTAAAAAATCTTGAAACCCTACTAAAATAGATGTGTCACATAGGTGGTATACAAAAATTTGTAAACAGCGCATATGAAAAAAAAGGCCATTACAAAAATGGAGTGGAGAAAGGTTATGAGGATTCTATGTTTCATACAGATTAATGAGACGTTACTATAGTAATTATAAAGGATATCAATTTTCTGCAAGCATTCTTTTTTGGCTTTTTTAGCTTAACTACTCTATTTCTGTAGTGCAACCTGAGGATTTAGTCTAGAAATGATGATTGTAATTATCTTTTAGTTTTAGAAATTAAAATACAAGCTTAGCTTCTCATCAGCTGTTGATACCTATGGTGAAGTAATAAAATTTTATACTTCCAGATTCCTTTATTCTCAGTTTTGAGCCTTGAGTGATTTTAATTAAATTAGGGTAAAGGTAAGGAGTTGTTGTTCCACTGGTATCCTTTTCATTTATACCTTTTTCTTAATGACTGATTATAATTGAGAACATCAGTTTCTTCAAAATTTGAATATGTCTTCAAATATTTCTTCAAAAATAACTCCAAGTAATTTGATAAGATCTGCTTACTTATGCATGAAATTAAAGTGCTTATAGCGAAAGAGGGAAAGAGGGACACACAGAATACTGTGTGAAAAACCTAAATTTGTTTTTAAAAACCTACTGAAAAGTTCTTATATTTCTGATTTAGTATTTTAGTTTTTGCTTGAAAAAGTAAAGTTGTAAATCTCATAAGTGAGGATTTATTGAATATCTGTTGTACCTGACATACTCTGAGAACATACTTTGTTGGGTGTTTGTGACTTCAGTATGATCTCTCTGAAGGTGCTTTTTTATTTAATGTTTTTGGTCATGTAATTAAACTGAATAGTAATTAAGACCATACAGTTTCAAAGGAAATGAAAGAAAAAGAACCAAGTAGATGGTAACTTTTTTTTTTTTTACACATTCACATATTTTCAGTAGCATGAGGCTGATATTCTTTATTGTAGCTGGAAGAGTGGTGGCTGAATGTGGCCTACCTGGATGTCCGTGCACCGGCACAACTGAATGTCAACTTTGGGGGTCTTGCGCCCCATATTGAACATTACTGGCCTCCAAAGGAAGGCGTGCAATTGGAAAGAGGAAGTATAAATCTTTGGCATAACTTCAACTACTGGCAGCTGTTAAGAAAGTAAGGCTACTTACGTGAATTTAGTAAGAAATTTACCCAAAGTCTCAGGTGACAAAAGCTGAGAAGCTTTATTTACTCATTTGGGAATGAATATTACAGTTGTGACTATTCCGTTTGTAAGTTTTATAATGATTTCTTAATCAAAACACTTTTGTTTTAACAGAGAAAAAGTGCCTGTGAATAAAGTTGGAAATACTCCTCTAGATATGAGTCAATTCCGAATGTTATTTTCTACCTGCAAGATTCCAGGAATTAATAGAGATTCAATTATGAATTATTTTAGGACTGGTAAGTAGACACTGCAGGTACTTTCTTTGGTAAAACCATTGGGATTTGGGGAAGTTTTGTTGTAGTTTCTATGACACTGTGAAACATATTATTTTGAAAAGTATTTCTTTTTGGATTTTGACTAATCGAAGGCTTTCCATGGACCTTATCTTTTGGTCATTCTGATTAGTCAAAAGTGCTTTATGGGAATGGATTTTCTAAACTGTGTCTTACATGGTTCTATACAAACCTGATGCTTATGTTGCATCATTTGAAAGTTTAAATTTTAGTTAAAGAGTAGAATTGCAAAGAGTATTAGGAAATCTGGAGAATATGATTTGGATCCTTCTGTTTCGCCCTCATTCTGCCACAGTACAGTGTCCAGGCCCGGAGCGGGTCTCCCTCCAGCTGGCTGTAGTGTGTGGGTTCTTGATTTCTTGCAGGGTATATTTCACATGAGTCCAGGTGATTTTGAAAGTACATTTATTAAAGCAGGGGACAGTGAAACAAAGGGAGGACCTAGGGTAGAAGAAGCAACAGGAAAAAGCCTAGGCGGTGCTCTGTGTTGGCTCCCTAGAGATGGTACAGGAAAGAAGTGAGCCAGGGGGAGGCTGCTGCTCGTTAGCTCACTGAAAAGTCAGAGAAAAGGGGGGCTTGGAGATAGAGAAGGGGGGCTTGGAGATAGAGAAGGGGGACTTGGAGATGGTCTACTACTGCTACTTCCTGCTACTCCCCTTGTTGCAGGTCTCATGGGGACCCCTCAAGTTTAGGAGGAAATAAAAAGTTCATGCCCCAGAAGGGGCATGGGCTTGTTCTAGAGTGAGCCCATGCTGCCATCCTTTGTCTTGAGAGTTTTATTTCTCTCCTATGGGGAAGGCTCTCACGGGAGGATGAGCAGAATATTCATCAGCTTTCCAGGTGCGTGTTTATTACGCTGATGCATCAAAATGAGCATGAAGGGGAGTTTGGGGTTATTTTTTGGTCTGCTCTACTGTTTTATCTTGGGTCTGTCTGGCTGTAATCCAGTTTTTGTTATTTGTTTCCCTGATTTCTTCTGTCCTTGGGTTTGGCTGCCACGAATGGCATTAGTTGGTTCTCAGTTCTCTATCTCCCTGAACAGAGATGTATTCTCTGATTAGGCCGGTCGGAGGTATAAATCATGCTCTCAAGTGTGATAAGATCTTGCAATTCACTGGTTGGCTGTAAGTTCTTCAGATTGTTTGGCCTTGTTTAATTATCTTGTCTCAATTTTCCCATTTCACTTGCCCAGGAATTTTCCTAGCTTCTTACCACCCTGCCTCAAGTCCTTCTTATCTGAAGTCTCTTTTTGAGTGTTTGCTTGTATGTGGTTATCATTCCCCTTTCTTTGTGAATATACTTTTCTTGCCTGTTATATGAGGTGAGAACATGGTATCAGTCATCTTTAAGGTATTCTCTTGTGAGTTCAGGTTGACTCATCAAAGTCTTTGTTTTTACTATTAGCTTAATGGCAGTTTCTCCTTGGTGTCAACACATATTGAAATGGAAAATTCGGTTGTAGTAAATGCTAGTTTTGTTACTTCAGGAATTTTTATTTTTTATAAATTTAATGACATAATTACTGCACAACATAATCATGAATGGATATTTTTATTACATAAAATTTTATTTAAAAGTAAAATTTCTGTAGCTAGCTTTGCTTGTAGTGTGAGAGGTATGAGTTCATTTTCATGTACAACTCAACTTCTCTTCATAAACCTCTTTAGATGCTTGGGATAATGTCCTCAAGTCTATACACATTTACCTTGATGTTGCAAGTGAAAGAATTAAAAGAAAGGATTAAGGAACCTGGTTATTTATGGCATAAAGTTTAATACTCAAATATGAAAAGAAAAGATGAACAGGAGAAAATTGATATTAGAACAGCAGTAGCAAAGAGATAATATGTATATCAGGTAAGAACTATTATCAGTAGACCTGGTTTTGAATTCAATCTTTATCCCCTAGTATATGTCCTTAGATAAGGTAACTCCTTTAATTTACAGTATGTAAAATGGGGATTTATTAATTTAATAATGTGCCTCCTGATACAGGGGTGTAAGCTGTCATGGTTAGTATATTCTTGAACTTATGGCTATGTGAAAAGGCATAGATACAGATAAAGCTGAGATAATAAGTAAACATGAAAAATATCAGAGTTAGTGACAGATACTGTATAGAGAATTTGAATAACGTGAGTAGCTGGGTGGCTGTTTTATATTTGGTCGTTAGGGAAGACCTCTCTGAGGGTCTGAATGATAAGATGTTCCAACACAGTTTTTTGGCTTTTTATTTAGTTCAGTTTGTTGTTGTTGCTTTTGTTTTGCTTGCGTGTGTGTTGTGCGGGCAGTCCCCGAGGCATAATAAACTTGATGTGTGTGAAGGGCATTTTAGCCCAGTAAGACCCATTTCAGCGTCTGGTCCCCAGACCTGTAAAATAATAAATTTGTGTTGTTAGTGGGAATTTGTTACAGCAATTACGGGAAATACTCTCATTTCAGTATTTTCCCATTCTCCAAACCTGTTGCATTACATTATTGTAGCCATATATTTTGCTTTCCCTTTTTAAAAAATGGATGAACTGTTCTGATTCCTTAGGACGCTCCTATGTGGTGCTCTGGACCTCTCTCCTCCTCTGGCCTAATCGAGGACCTTGCTTCTGGATTATCCTTTGTCTCTGAGCTCTGTTATCAGTTTTACCTTCTTACGGGATTGTTCCAACTTGTAACACCTTCCTCTTAAAAAAAACCCCACGTCTTCTCACCTTCAAGTGTCACAGCCTAATCAAAGCCACCATGACCTTACTCTTAGGTCATTTTCGCCTGGACTACAGTTACTTCCTAGCCGATCTTGCTGTGTATTCTCTTCCCTCTTAAAATCTCTTCTCCATATAGCAGCTGGAATGACCTTTTTAAAATATTAATTAGATCGTATTATTACTCTCCTGCTTAAAGCCCATCGTAGTGAAAACTGAGAGCCCTTTCTGAAGCTGGTATCATCTGGCCCCAGCCTCGTCCCCTGCTCTGCCCTTTTCTCCATCTGCTGCAGCTGCACTGATCTTGTTTTCTTTTAAGCAGACCAGTTCATTTTTGTCTTAATGCCTTTGTACTTGCTGTTTCCTCTGCTTGGAACTCTGTTCGCTCCTTCACTTCATTGGGTTCTCTGCTCAAATATCCCTTCTAAGGCGCCCTCCTCCCAACCATATATCGATTACTTTTGCATCAAGCTTATTTTCTTTGTTCTTTTCCAGCCTTATAATTTGGATAGGTTGTGGTCAGTCGAAGACAGCCATAAACGGTAGTGGTGGTACATGTGAAAGGGAATGGAGGAGTTTTGAAGGGGAATAGAGAAGAAATGGATTGGGGGTAGCCGTGAGGGACAAGGAAAATCCATGCCTCACTTCCTGCAGCTTGAGGAAATAGGATATAAGGGGAAGAGTAATAGTACTCTTAGGAGATGGTCCTTCCTCATAGTTGAGGAATAGATTTCATGGAATAATGTGTAAAGCATTCAGCAGTTTCTTGTACATAACATCAACCAGTAAATTTCCTTCTAGTGGCAGTATATATCTTTTTTAAGTTTTCTTTCTCTTTCTTTTCCCCTTTCTTAAAGGGATGGAGCAGCATTCATACAGGAAGACCCTTGTGTAAGGGACTAGTGCTTGAAAAATGGGGCTAAATCAGAATAGTCTGAGGTTTACAGCAAACAGATAGTTCTTGGGGAGTTAAGGTGTGCAAAAGGAAACATTCAAGGAGTTGATAGTGGCTTACCCGGGTATCAGGTTGGGAAGAATTCTTTTTCCTTGCCACTCAGACATATAGTGCCCTTATCTCCTGAAAACTATTTTCTTGAGAAATCATAGCTAGATATCACTGCAATTAAATTATCCAGTGAACAATCAACACTAAAATAATCCAAAAGAAAAACTTGTTAATTCAAATAGCTCTCCTAGCAGGAAGACAGCTAAGGGAGGGGGGAGGTTAGGGAGTGGAGGGACTGAGCAAAAAGGAAAAAGAACTCGTGGACATGGACCAAGATGTGCTGATTGCAGGGGGGTGAGGGGTATAAAAGGACTAAATAGTAGTGGGAAAAATACAATAAAAAATTAATTTCAAAGAAACCCAACAAATAGCTCTCCTCCAGTCCTCCTCTGCTACCCTTTCCCCCTTCCCATTCATGTCTGTAAATAAAACTAGATTGCCCTGCAGTAGTTTGGGATTTATATGATTATCAAGTTATACAAATATTTGGAACGCCCATGGATTCCTAGATGTTTCAAATGGACAGGTTTTGAGAGCATGTATTTATATCATAATAACTGAATTCCGTCACCTTATTAAAGTGTTCTTGTTCATGGGATATATTAAATACATGATACATAAAATATTGGAGGAATGATTTTTTTTTCTATTGGATGTAAATATGCAGCTTTACTCTTGTTTGAGAGATTTGGTCTTGTGTTTTCTCTGTTGTTTTTCTTTTCCAGAGAGTGAAGGGAGTTCCCCAACTCACGTTGCAGTGCTGTGCCGAGGCCGAATATTTGTCTTCGATGCTGTGCACGACGGATGTTTGATCACCCCACCAGAGATTCTCAGGTTCTCAAACTGCTCTCGGGAATCTCTTTAGGTCTTAGGCTTTTATGTGAATTAAAAAGTAAATGTTCAGAATTGCTTGTTTATAAGGTGACAGAAAAATAAGACTTTTTATATATGCTGAATTTTTTTAAAAAATCCATTTTTATTTTATTTTTAATTTAAATTAACTATTATTCTACTGGGCATATATGAATATATTCTACCTGGAGAAAAGGAAAACATTACAAAGACTACCAGTCTCATTCTCTGCCCCAGAATTAATCACTGTTTTTAGTTGGATATATTCTAGCCTTTCATATTTATTTATATGTACATATAGATTTTAAAATATATATATTTCGTTTGTAGTATGTATTACGTATATACAAATAGATTGTACATATAGTAGTACATAGTATGTATTGTAGTATTACTTTGTATGTTTGTAATTTTAAAGTAAATTATGGAAAATTTCAAAAGGTAGAGGGAATGTACTCTTCCTCTAACTTCAACAGAAGTCTATCGACTTCTAGCTTCAACAATTATAAATTTCTCGTCTTGTCTCAACTATACCTCCTTGTGATCCTCCTCTCATTCCCCCATGGATTATTTTAAAGAAAATCTCAAACATAATCTCCTTTCACTATAAGTATTTTATTTTTTTGATTTAATCTTTATTGTAGTTTTCCCCCATTACCGTTTAGCCCCCTTATATGCCCGTCCCCCCAGCAGTCACCACACTGTCGTCATGTCCATGCGTCCTTTTTCCTCTTAGCTCAATCCCTCCACCTCCTAAGCTCCCCCCTCTACTAGCTGTCATCCTGCTCTCCGTCTGTTCTGTCCCCATTTTCCTTCTTAGTCTAGTTTGTTCATTAGAGTTCACGTATGAGTCAAATCATGGTATTTTCTTTGGCTCACTGGCTTATTTCACTTAGCATAATGTACTCCAGGTCTGGCTAACGTACAATGGGTGTAAATGTCCCACAGTTGTTTTTATCCAATCATCTGTTGATAGACACTTGGTCTGCTTCCATATCTCGGCCATTGTAAATAATGCTGAAATGAACATAGAGGTGCTTATGTTCTTTTGAATTAGTGTTTTGAGGTCCGTTGGATATATTCCCAGAAGTGAGGTCACTGGGCCGAAAGGCAGATCCATTTTTAATTTTTTGAGGTATCTCCATACTGCTTTTTACAAAGTGGCTGCACCACTCTGCATTCCCACCAACAGTGCACGCACGTGTTTCCCTTTCTCCACATTTTTGCCAGACTTGTTTGTTGATTTATTGATGATAGCCATTCTCACAGGTGTGAGATGATATCTCACTATGGTTTTAATTTGCATTTCTCTTGACGATTAGTGATGTTGAGCATCTTTTCATATGTCTGTTGACCATCTGTATGTATGTCCTCTTTGGAGAAGTGTCTGTTCAGGTCCTTTGCCCATCTTTTAATTGGGTTTTTTGTTTGTTTTGGTCTTGAGCTTTGTTAAGTACGTTACAAATTTTGGATATTAACCCCTTATCAGATGTATGGGTGAATATGTTCTCCCATTTTGTGGGTTGTTTTTTATTTTGTTGATGATTCCTTTGCTCTACAAAAACTTTTTAGTTTGATATAGTCCCATTTGTTTATTTTTTCTTTTGTTTCCTTTGCCTGGGGAGATACATCAGATTAGAAATTTCTATGAGCAATGTCCAAGATTTTGTTGCCTATGTTTTCTTCTAGGATTTTAATGGTTTCAGGTCTAACATTTAAGTCTTTAATCCATTTTGAATTTGTTCTTGTGTGTGGTATAAGAAGGCAGTTTAGTTTCATTTTTCTGCATGTATCTGTCCAACTTTCTCAACATCATTTATTGAATAAACTATCTTTAGTCCATTGTATGTACTTCCACTGTTGAATATTAATGGACTGTAAGGGTATGGGTTTATTTCTGGGCTCCCTATTCTGTTCCATTGATCTCTGTCTGTGTTTATGCCAGTACCAGGCTGTTTTGATATCTCTGGCCTTATAATATAGTTTGATATTAGGTGGCGTGATTCCTCCAACTTTGTCCTTCTTTCTCAGGATTGCTGTTGCTATGCAGGGCCTTTTGTGGTGCCATATAAGTTTTGGAAATATTAGTTCTAGTTCTGTGAAATACGTCATTGGATCCTTGATAGTAATTGCATTGAATCTATAGATTGCTTTGGGTAGTAAGGACATTTTAATATTAATTCTTCCTATCCATGAACACTGTATGTGCTTCCACTTATTTGTATCTTCTTCAGTTCTTTCTTCAGGGTCTTATAATTTCTTGCTTACAGTCTTTTACATCCTTGGTTAGGGGTATTCCTAGGTATTTTACTCTTTTGAAGCAACTGTGAATGGAATTGTTTTCTTAATTTACCTTTCTATTAGTTTGTTATTGGCATATAAAAATGCAACTGATTTCTGAATATTAATTTTGTATCTTGCTACTTCGCTGAATTCTTTCAGTTCTGGTAGTTTTTTGGTGGTATTATTGGGGTTCTCTATGTACAGTATCATGTCATTTGCAAATAAAGACAGGTTTACTTCTTCTTTTCCAATTTGGATGCCTTTTATTTCTTCTTGTTGTCTGATTGCTGTGGCTAGTACTTTCAGTACTATGTCAAATAAGAGAGGTGAAAGTGGACATCCTTGTCTTGTTCCTTATCTTAAGGGGAACACTTGTAGTTTTTGCCAATTGAGTATGATGCTGGCAGTGGGTTTGTCATATGTGGCCTTTATTATGTTTAGGTGTGTTCCCTCAATTCCCATTTTGCTGAGAGTTTTTATCATAAATGGGTACTGAATTTTATCAGAAGTTTTTTCTGCATTTACTGATATGATCATGTTGTTTTTTTCCTTCATTTTGTTTATGTGGTGAAGCACATTTATTGATTTGCAAATATTGTACCAGCTTTGCATTCCCAGAATAAATCCCACTTGATCATGGTCTATGATCTTTTCGATGCATTGCTGTATTCAGTTTACTAATATTTTGTTGAGGATTTTAGCATCTATGTTCATCAGGGATGTTGGTCTATAATTTACTTTCTTTGTAGTGTCTTTACCTGGTTTTGGAATTAGGATAATGCCGGCCTCGTAAAATGACTTGGGGAGATATCCCTCCTTTTGAATTTTATGAAACAGTTTGAGAAAGAGAGGTGTTAGTTCTTCTTGGAATGTTTGGTAAAATTCACCTGTGAAGCCATCTGGTCTAGGACTTTTGTTTGTTGGGAGTTTTTTGATTACTGCTTCAATTTTCTTATGTATAATCTGTCTATTCAGATTCTCTGATTCAAAGATTGTATGTTTCTAGGAATTTATCCGTTTCATCCCAGTTGTCCAATTTGTTGGCATATAGTTGGTCATGATATTTTCTTACAACCCTTTGTATTTCTTTGGTGTCAGTTTTTATTTCTTGTCTTTCATTTGTGATTTTACTTACTTGAGTCCTCTCTCTTTTTTTCTTTCTGAGTCTGGTTAAAGGTTTGTCAATCTTGTTTATCTTTTCAGAGAACTAGTTCTTGAATTTATTGATCTTTTGTAGTGTTTTTTAGACTCTATTTCGTTTACTTCTGCTCTGATCTTTATGATTTCCTTCTTTCTACTCACTTTGGGCTTTGTTGTTGTTTTTCAAGTTCCATTAAGTGTAAAGTTAGTTTTTTTGAGCATTTTCTTGTTTTTTGAGATAGGTTGTAATGCTATGAATTTTCCTCTTAGGGTTGCTTTCCAAGTGTCCACAGATTTTGGATTGTTGTGTCCTCATTTTCATTTATTTCAAGGTATCTTTTGACTTTTTCCTTGATCTTCCTTGATCTTGTTGATCCATTCATTGTTTAATTATGTTATTTAGCTTCCATGTCTTTGTGTGTTATTCAGCGTTCTTGTGATTGATTTCTGCTTTTATCACATTGTGGTCAGAGAAGATGCTTGATAGGATTTCAGTCTTTTTAAATTTATTGAAACTTGTTTTGTGTCCTAACATGTGGTTTATCCTAGAAAACATTCATGTGCACTTGAAAAGTATGTATATTGTGCTGCTTTGGGGCGAAATGCTCTGAAGATATCAATTAAATCTATTTGAGTGTGTTGTTTAAAACTGCTGGCTCCTTGTTGATTTTTTGCCTGGAATATCTACCTATTGAACTCAGTGGGGTGTTAAAATCCCCTACTATGACTATATTTTTGTCAGTCTCTCCCTTTATGCCCAAAAAGATTTACTTTATAATATTTAGGTGTTCCTGTATTGGGTACTTAAATGTTTACTGGGGTTATATCCTCTTGTTGGATTGTTCCCTTTATCATTATATAATGTCCTTCTTTGTCTCTTACTATAGCCTTGGTTTTAAAGTCTATTTTGTTGGATGTAAGTACTGCTACCTCAACTTTTTTTTCTTTTCTATTTGCATGAAGTCTCTTTTTCCATCCATTTGCTTTTAGTCTGTATGTATCTTTCTATCTCAGATGGATCTGTTGGAGGCAGAATATATATGGGTCTTGTTTTCATATCCATTCATCTACCCTGTATCTTTTGGTTGGAGCATTTAAGTCATTTGCATTTAAAGTGATTCTTGATAGATATGTATGTAGTGCCATTTTATTGTTGGATGTTTTCCTCTGTTTTTTTTTTTTTCTTTTTGTTTTTAAAGCAAGCCCGGTAACATTTTTGGCAGTACTGGTTTGGTGTTAACAAAGTCCGTTAGCTTGTTCTTGTCTGGGAAGCTCCTTATCTCCTTCGATGTTAAATGATAGCCTTGCTGGGTAAAGTAGCCTTGGTTGGAGGTCCTTGCTTTTCATCACCTTGAATATTTCACACCACTCCCTTCTGGCCTGAAATGTTTCTGCTGAGTAATCAGATGCCAGTCTAACTTCTGCTCCCTTGAAGGTAACTACCTGCTTTTCTCTTATAGCTTTTAGGATTCTCTCCTTGTCTTTAAATCTTGTCATTTTAATTATGTTGTGTCTGGGTGTAGGCCTTTTTGAGTCCATCTTGTTTGGGACTCACTGAG